CTCCCTGTCGTAAACTGACAACACTGACAACCCTCAGCCGTGCCGGGCAGTCCGCTGGCTCTACCGGTATCGGTAGAGCTGACAACCAATCAGAGGAGAGCAGGTGCGATCACACAGGCCCGCGCTCTACGGGAGAGGGGGATGGGGAACTGGAGAGTGCGGGAGACTCACAGGCCAGATAAAAAAGAATCAACCCTCGTCCGTATTGGTGTTTGCTAGCCGCGAACGTAAAAAGGGGGGAACCCCTTGACGTCCGGCCCCTGAACGAACTAGAGCTTCGCGGAAAAAACGAACGTGTTGCCCGTGACGAGAGGAAGCCGGTGATAACCAATTTTAAGAGGTCCTAGGCCATTGCCATTGGTTGACCTTCCTGCAGGTCAGGTCAATGACCCAAAAGTCGAGAAAATCGGGACCTGTCAGAACTTCGTAAAGTAAGGATGTACTGAGGTTTTTCGGGGTGCTGATCACAAATATGATGTTCGTTTTGATCACAGATTACGTGTATGTCTTTATGCATTTAGGCCAGGCCGGGTCATGTCAGGTCAGGTCAACCAGTAGGCGTTCTGCCGGGTATTCATAGTAGGTGCCAACTACCACTGAGAGCTTCGTTACACGTTACGAAGGCACAAAAATTACTTCGTTAATGTTCATATGGCTGCTAAATTCGAAATCAGCCCCAAAAAAACTAGCATAGAAACATGTAAAACTCGAAAAAGGAAACCAATGTCATCAAAGGTCAGTGACCTGATCTGGCCTTCACGTGACCTTGATACCCACCATCACTCAGGGGCCAACATCATTTGACATGTTGACTGTATAAATGCAGCAAAGACCTTTCATTACTCTTTACAATCGTTTGACATGTTTGAACGTTAAAAACCCCAAAAAGACTGCAAACGCGCGGATAAGGTGAGCCGACATACGCCGAGTCGCGATTCCGGCCAAGCATAGTCTCGAGAAATGTGTCACAGGTTTCGGTCAGGCTCAAGAAATTTTAAGAGGTGTGAAATTGATGAGCTCGAGGGCAGTAGTGGCGGAACACACTTACAATTAAGGGGGGCACTGCCGACTTTTGGTCCAGTGTTCGCCATGGGCCGGGCCAGCCCAATGGGCCATGGGCTGGGCTGGGCTACGGGCTGGGCTGGGCCCTCAAATTGAAGGATTGATGGGCTGTGGATGGGCTGGGCCAAGAACTGTTAAGTGGAGTCAGGGGTTCGCAACTGAGACAAAAACTAGAACTGCATAGCTTATTACTGTGCAAGACTCAAAAACGAGTTAATAAAGCACGCATGCAATGTGCATTGTGCATGCGGCTCGCAAAATATTGTTTCTTTGCTACCTTTGGTTGGGTACCTGTGTGGTGTCAATAATTTTTAACCCATTCATTTTTGACGGGCTGGGCCGGGCTGGGCTTTGACGCTTTTATCATGAATGGGCTCGGGCTGGGCCGGGCTGTGAACCCATGGGCCTGGGCTGGGCTGGACTGGGGTTTTGCGGCCCGTGGCGAACACTGTTTTGGTCCCATTCTTTCTATGCAACGCCCATAGGGCTAATGGTGCCAAAATCAAAGGAGGGCACGGTGCCGCGGTGCCCTCCCCGTTCCGCCGCCTATGCTCGAGGGTACGAAAAGTTTCGTGGCGATCGGCCGCTTTTGTGCGAGTTGTTCGCGAACAACCGAGGGCGGGGGGGGGGGGAGGTCCGCTTGACCCCCTTATAAGTGCGAAGGTTAACTAATTTGATGGCGAGTAGGGAAGGGTAAAATCCAGGGTCAATCTACGTGCGAGCAAATCTTCGCAGTTTCTGTTTGCAACGGACCGGTAATTCATAAACTAAAGATAGCAAAAACTCTAGCTTAGATTTGCCTAATTGCTGAGTTCACTGAAACTGGCACATGTGTAGCCTCTACAAAAGCTAAGAATAATGTTTGAAGTTTAATGCCGAAAAATTGTTCCGATACCGAACGTACATTTTTTAACACCAATGGTCTGAAACTGAGCAGTAATCGCCACGTAATTTGGATTGTGGACCAATCTTAAATGTACAATACAATATTTATAGGATTGCATTGCATCAAAAATAAAAGGCACTATTTATACTCACTGAATTCCACCGTTTATAGATAATGTCGTGAAATTTCGAAAATCAAGCGCGCCTTTTCCAAAAAGTGGTTGAAGCTCTTATATAGAGTCCCCTTTCCCAAGTCTGCCTCGTTAAGAAAATTGTATTTTGATATTTGCGATTTACTATGTGTCTTCTCCGACACGAAAAGAAGATCCACTAAATGAAAGAGGGTGACTGATTTTCGCATGCTGCTTTGTTCAAATGCGATAGGTAATTAATTTCGTTGATGATGGTGCTATAGGTGATCGATTTTGCCAGTGAAACATTTTTGTTAATATTTATTTATTCACTATGTAAATGTTAGTAATATTTATTTCAATTTTACCTGCATTTGAAGATGATCACACATACCGTGAAAGCGTTATTGTTGATTTCATTTTTACCCCAAACCAGTGAATCAAAAAATCTAGCTGAAAATGCTCCCGACATATTGTTCGATGAAAACAAAGTACTTCTGTACTTTTTTGACTCCGAATTTCCCATTCCGACACAGAAAAGGCTGATGGTCAAAAAGTTTCTTGAAGATATCGGAAAGAAATCGTGCTTGCAATTCAAAGAAATAGACGCCTACAACAGCAAATGCAGAACTGTTCAAGCCAAGCCAACTCTGTGCATAAGCGGCGTAGATCACAGTAGTAAGTCAGACAGACACGGATATGGTTGTGAAATTCGTTGGCCAAGTGGTCCGAATGGCAAATATGGCAGATGGCTTCCATATACGTACAAGCCCGGCGAGTTTCTGGGATGTTCCTGGCCGGCATCTATGATGTATTTATACTTCATGATGGGGTATGACCCTCCTGTTTATAGACCTGACAGGGACGGGTATATAAGCATCAACCCGTTTGAAATATGGACCATGGATAAAATGACCTCTTCATCGAAATATGCCTGTGGACTTCAAAGTGTAACAGGACGAAAGGAAACTGAAGAAGATTTTGAAAGTCATAAAGTATTGGACAAAGCGTCTGGAGAGAAAAAGCTCCCATTTTATACCTTTAAATCTGTGTTTCACACTGGAACCGCTGGTGACTCCTTGCCCCGTGAGCCAAAGCCAGTTTATGTTACTAAATTTACGATATGGCAGCCATGGCTAGATGCATCGAAATACACAAAGAATTATGAGGCTCGCTACACTCATCACGACGAAGCTATACTTGGCTGGCGGCAGAAATGTGACATTCAAGAAAGAAACGCCTGTGGTGTTGAGTCGACTACATATGAAAGATTTGATCATTGGAGCTCTTGTCCGTCAAACGGATTCATGAGAGGCTGCAAGTGCGTTTGTTCAAGTTATTCGATGCAAGAAATGACGTGCACAAGTTATGACCTTGTGGGTGGTGGCGAAAAGGTGGTGAAAGATGACGACTACAATCCCACAGAGGAGCCAGGCAGGCATATGCCTAGAATGTCTGTTTATACTTATGATCAGCTCGATGCTTTTGGGCGCACAGTATCCTTGGAAGAAGAAATTCAGAAATTCAATGATGATCGCGATGATGCTGAGATTGTGGTAGCCGGATACAAATATTCAAGGCAGCAGGTATTTGGAGATGAATGGGCATACCGGTTCATCTTATTATTGTTGAAGGGCAACACGCCATGTTCTCGCCCTGTTCTACAAATAGACGGACGTGAATATCTCAAAACAGGAGCCGGCCAAACTTTGGGAGATGACAAATACGAAAAATTTATCGTGATGCGTGGATTTGACTGCTTTGGCCTGGTTACCGGCTTCTTTGATCAGAACGGAGATCCATTCTATGAGGCCGATTGGGACGGAACCACTAAAGACACCATGTTCAGGAGAAGGCTTTATTGTTATTCTTCACTGTATTTGGAAGAAACGGAACTCCGCGCCAAAACCCAAAGAGCTAGCTTGTATTTGCAGTATAACTGGGTGCTGGACGCCGAACACCTCGTGCCAAAGGGTCCCTTCAACTTGAAGATGACCGTTTTGGGCAGTGATGACCCATGGTGCGGACTGACAAATTATTGTTCGCCATTTTTCGGCACGGATAAGACCTACGAGCGTGAGTATTGCAGAACTCACCTTCCCCCGCCTACGACAACCAAGGCGCCCACCACCACGGCTAAACCGACAACGACCACCACCACCACAACAACGACGACCACATCTCCGACCACCACCACCTCCGAGAAGACGACCACCAAATCCACTACTAAGAAGTCGACCACAAAGTCTACAACCACAACCACGACGACGACAACGACAACAACGCCTACAACTACTACTACTACAACGACGACGACGACGACCACAACCCCCAAGCCCACCACCACCACCACAACAACTACTACGACCACTACGACAGTGAAGTCGTTGCCGCCCTTGACACGGTCAACTAGATTTACACGCAATCCCAATGCTACCCGCACTGCTCCAAGTGATAAAACAGCAGTTTTTCCTCCGGTTGTTACTGTCGAAATGAAACCACCTGAAACAACACTTTCAACCCCATTCACCACCTCTCCAACTACCACAAGAGCGCCAACAACCACCACTACCCATCCTACCTCCCCCACAACAACATTCGCCCCGCCGCAATGGTCGACAACCACTAAGGCGCCAACGACAACGACCACGAAGAGAACGACACCAACAACGACCTCCACAACGACAACAACGACCACAACAACACCCAGCACTACAACCCTCCCGCCGCGTGTACCTTTTACCACCATGTTTGCGGGAGATCATTTTACAATATTCTCGACAAGAGAGACATCCACCGCGCCGCCAACGACTACAAGAAAGACAACAACGACCACAACGACTACAACAACCACAACGACTACGACTGCATCGACAACGACAGCTGCTGCTGCTGAAACTGCCAAGTCAACGACAACAGAGGCAGCCACGGTGCCGACACAGGCCCCGACAGTTAGTCCGACGACCATATACGATTATGATTGCTACTTCGACCTGCATATATACATAGCAACTTGCATACGCATACCAAGACAACCACCAGGATGGTCAACGAAATTCCCAATACCAAGACCTGGAATAGAGCTTCCTTTCTTTGACAAAGTCACCAAGCCAACAACTCAAAGTACGAAATCAACTCGCTTCCCTACTCCTCCTCCGACGAAGCCGACGAAAAAGGTGACAAAAACTTTGGCTACGGACCTCGGGCCGTACACGCGTCCCACGGGAACAATCCCCACTGATGGAACAAGACCGACAAATAGAATGGGTAAAACAAGAGGAACAAGAAAGCCGACGCCGGCCACGGAGCCGACAGATACCGGTGACGACACCCACGGTGGAGAACACACCACAGAAGGAGACGGCAATGTGCCGGGCCCCTTACCGGGAGGAGGCACTGACGACACTCAAACCACTAAATCTGACGGAAGTGAGCCTGGACCGGGCCAGCCGGGCGGCGGCTCCACCGGGCCACCTGGCGGAGGAGGCACAGACACCGGCGGTGGTACCACAAAGGGAGGTGATGGCACCGCCACAGGCGGCCCAGGCGGCACAGGCGGCCCAGGCGGCACAGGCGACAAAGGCGATGGCACGACAGGAGGCACTGGTGGCGGTGGCGTCGGCGGCGGTCTTGGAGGAACAACAACGTCAACCACAGAGTCCATCATTGGCGCTGGCGTGGGTGACCCTGGCAAGGCTGTCAAGAGTGAAGGCAAAGGTGGAGCTGGTCCGCTGGTCGCCGGCATTCTTGTGCCGCTTCTTCTGCTCCTCTGCATTCTCATCATCTGTCTAGTGATGAAGAAGAAGAAGAAAGAGCCTGGAGAAGGAGACGAAGAGGGTGAAGACGGTGAAGATGGAGAAGGAATGGGCGCCGATGGAATGGGTGGCATGGGCGGCGGAGCTGGCGGAATGGGCGGCATGGGCGGCGCAGGAGGAATGGGAGGAATGGGCGGCGGAGCAGGAGGAATGGGCGGCGGAGCTGGCGGAATGGGTGGCATGGGCGGCGGAGCCGGAGGAATGGGCGGCATGGGCGGCGGAGCCGGTGGAATGGGCGGCGGAGCCGGAGGAATGGGAGGCGGAGCCGGTGGAATGGGTGGAATGGCTGGCGGAGCTGGTGGAATGGCCGGTGGAGCCGGCGGAATGGCTGGTGGAGCTGGCGGAATGGCAGGTGGAGCCGGCGGAATGGGCGGCGGAGCCGGAGGAGCCGGAGGAGCGGGCGGATCAGGTGCCGGAGGAGGAAAGGGCGGAGGAAAGGGCTTCCGCTTTGGAAAGAAGAAAGGAAAGGACGGTGGAGCCGATGATATCGATCTCTTTGGAGGTGCGATTGGACCTGGTGAACAAGATGCTCCAGAAATGTTCCTACCGGGAGCATCGGGCTAATCTAGTAATTTCCAACTGCTCTTACTGCCAAAGCAAATCGAACGAGCATTGTTCTTTGACTGAAGCGCAAATCACAAGTGTTTATGCGTTACAATGTATTGCTCTTCGAAAAATGTCGACTAAATCGCTCAAAATACAGGCGCACCATGCAACGGGCTTTATTTTAGTGGGACTGCCGAGACCACTCAGTACACGCACCGGTAGTATGTGAAAACTGAAAACTATGCAATAAGTTAACGTTTTCTTTTATTTTGTTTTTTCGAAATTTGTTTTGCAATTTAAAATTAAACTTGCAAACACCGAGCCTGCGTTAGGTAGTGTTAGGATGTGAGATGACGCCACCGGTGACGTCATATGATGACCTCTGACGTCACCGGTGCGGGACGGACGGGGATTGGTCGCCTGCGGCTGTGCGGTGATCGGCCGAGATGGTCTGGGCCAAATACACCAGTTTGGATGGAGCCAGCGTGTGTGGCGGACGTCACCTCAAGCTATAACAGGTAGTAGGTTGTTTGAGGTTAGAAATAGGTCACAAAGGTCACGAAAGCTTGAAGCCCTTCACTCAGGTTGGGGTGGGGGTGTTTTTGGCCACACTCGCTATTTTTTCCTTTGCTTGCGTAAAGATGACCACCGCACGCAGCGGCACGAAGCTTGCTGTAGCTTATCATAATCTATTCAGCCTCGTGTATAAATTTTTTGACCCCAAGTCACGCTAGGTAAGTGAAGTTAGGTCACCATGCCTCTAAGAAAATGTGATTCTGTCATTTCTACAGCATAGCTCCCGACTCCTACACGTAAGTTCACGGAATTGCTTAACCCGCGCCCCAGTGGCGGTCTCAGCCAACTTCGCCCTAGTGGGGGGGGGGGGCATATGTTACCACCTGCACCTCTAACTCAAAAACTAAGAGGGCTAGAAAGACGCGGCAAAAACAATCGATAGCTCTCAATGCGTACGTTTGAAAGTATTTCGGTCATTTTTCAGCTTAGAGCAATATTGGGGTCACTGGAGGTCATCAAAGGTCAAAATTTACCAAATGTCATTATATTTTTCCGAAAACATGCATTTATCTCAGGAACTATTATAGCTAGAAAAACGCATGGAAAAGCAATCGATAGCTCTTGAACTCTTCTTTCGATAAGGTCATCATTAAAATTGACCTAAGGTCAACGGTTTAGCCTCCAGAGGGCAAAAACTCCAAAAATAGCTGTTTTTACGAAAAGTGTTTTTCGACAATAACTTTTGACTAAAAAAAGTCACGACATTTCTATTGCCAGAATCGTGTTCCTCTCGCCGAGACGCATCGAATGAACTATGATTTGACCTTGCAAGGTCAACTTCAAAATTTGACCTCAGGTCAAGGTCATGACCTGACCGGAAAAGGTCATATTGCATATCAGTCGATGCGTCTCGGCAAGACAAACACAATGAGACCATCCCCAGCGTTCTATCTCTTTCCAATCGAGAGTTATTGGTAAAAAGCTGTTTGTAGCCTCAAATGACCTCGGATGACCTCTCTAGAGGCTATCAGCAAAAACGACACCTTGGTCGTCACGGGTGGTCCAAATCATTGTGATTCTGAAATATTTGGACTGTTCCTATGCGTACACACGGATCCAGAGGCATTTTCATTTTTCTCCATTGACTTATAATGGTAAGGTCACGCCACTGACCTGACCTTAGGTCACGGATATAAAAAATACGAGATATACAAATGTAGGCGCCCATAACATCATGCAATTCACCAAGTTTAAAACCTTTCTGACAAACACTGCATGCTGGACATGATTGCAGACTTTTTTTAGGCTTGGTCAGTTAACTTGACCTGGTGACCTGACCTGACATGACCTGGGGTCAAAAATTTAAAACATTGTCCAAAATTGATGTGCAAAAAGCTACCCCAAGCAGCGCGGCGCTACGCGCCGCGGTTTTTTATCTACACGCGAAAACGCGACAGGGTGGTAATGCCCCCCCCCCCCCCCACTGGGGCGAAGGTTAAGGAAATCACTATACACGTTTTTCTTAAGTTTGCCCCTCACTGTAAACGTCTCTTTGAGCACAGCACGAGAATTGCTAGCTGAATCACTGAGAAAACTGGTTAGCGCACTTTGTGTTGTAGATATGAATAATATTTTCAAAAATAAGTTTTGAACACCGACGATTTAACGTGATGTTAACCCGCGCGGGGCTGGGTCTCCAGCCGAACGCGCGGGGCTGGGGGGGGGGGGGGGAGGGGGTTAATTTTACCCCCCCCTGTTATCTCCCGAACTAATGGTCCGATTTGGAAAATTCAAACGCCAATCGAAAGATCTCATCACGATCAACTAAAAACATGTACTTAATTTTAAGTTTAAGGTCAAGGTCAAGGTCAGGTCAAGGGTACAAATTACAAGTTCCTACAGTATCGGCCTTGCACCGTAGTTGCCGAAGAATGGAGTCATGGACTGAGACTGATCGCCCAAAACGTGTTCTTAGGCTACCAAGACAATATTCGTTGCATACAATATCATTCAGAGGTCAAGGTCAAGGTCAGGTCAGGTCAGGTCAGGTCACCAAAAACAAAATATAGAAAAAGGCATGTGCGACACATGTTTTATGGGTCATTTTACTCATAGAATTCAATAGGCACACTCAATAAGTGAAATGGACCACCTCTGGATGAATTTCAGGTCGAGGTCAGGTCAAGGTCAGGTCAAGTGAGGTCAAATTTTGAAGTTGGTTGTTAAGGCCTAAAAAGGTGTCAATCTGATGCAGTTTTTCACGGCGAATCGAATGATGCTATTTTTGTTTCCGTACAAGGTCTAGAACTTCCAAAAAAGTCATTTTTCAAAAATTTTGTGTGTCGTGACGTCATAAAATTTTGAATAACTTCCACATTTTTGAACCGATTCTTCTAAAAATTGGTATGTAGGTGCACATAGACCACTTCTCTGACATATATTCCGGTTTTTTCGATACACTCAAAATTTTGGATTTTATAGTTATTTTTCCAAAAAAGTCAGTTTTTTTGAAAAAAAAATTGGGCCAAAATCCAAAATTTTCAAAAAACCGAGATAGCCATTTGATAGACAAAGTAGAATTACGTATATCCTTTTCTTGTTACGTCTTGATTCCTTTAAAAATGAAGATGTTAGCGGCGTTTGAACTTTTGCCGTTTTTGAGGCGAAAATGGCGAACATGACGTCACTAAAACGTCAATTTCTCAAAAATTTTCCGACGGATTTCGCTCAAATTTTCAGGGAAGGTGTCAAATTAATGTAAGAAAAGGTACTCAAAGTTTGGCGGCGCTGCGCGCCGCCGTTTTTGAGATATTGCAAATATTCGCGAGGGGGGGGGGGGGGGGTAAAATTTACCCCCCCCCCCCAGCCCCGCGCGGGTTAAGCCCCGTGCAATTTATTTATTAGTTCAGACATAATTCCCGAGAAGTCGTCTATCCCTGTGGGGCTGTAGGTATTGGCAAATACGATTTACGAGTCTGTGAAATAGTAAATAAATTTGATGAAATTGATCGTCTGTGAAATCTGGTCAAATCAGTGTGCGCCAACCAGTTTTCTCAGTAATTCAGCTAGCAATTCTCGTGCTATGTTCCAAACGACGTTTACAGTGAGGGGCAAACTTTAAAAAACGAACTATACCAACATTTCTTTTTTTTTAATCTCAGAGTTTTGATATTAGTGACCCAAGGTCTGGTCAATTTTGCGGTCTTCTCATTGTCAATGGGAAAAATCGAACTGCTACTTCTTTTGCAAGAAAATCACTCTTAACGCTACAAACATCGGGATGCAAGTAAACATGACACTCTGAATCGGATGATTGCACATATGTTTTTATGCTCTTTATGCTCCTGAAGTCATCTGGGGTCATCAAAGGTCTCCATCAGTCTTTTTTCTCTGACAATAACATTAACTAGAGAGACGCTAGAGCGATGAAAACATCTTATATGCATTCAGCTCAACGATACAAAACCACTAATGTAGTGTGACCTTTTCTCTGACCTGAGGCCAAATTTCTATGTTGACTTTTTCCATGTCAACTTATAGTTCAGTCAGTACGTCTCGAAACAAACGCGATGCGGGTAAACTCAACGTAATGCAAGGTTGATGTCCAAAGCTATTACAGAAAAACCTTTTACGCAAAACGTCAAACTTTCACTTCTGTCGTACGAAAGCTAAACAGTTTGCTCTAGGTCAAATCTGAAAAAACATAATCAAAACTAATTTGAAAGAACTATCAAATGCATTTTTACGCGACGCTGTGTAGCTCTATTCGTTCCCGAGTTATGTTCCCGAGTTACCTATTTGTAGAAAGTTACTAAAATCTGGAAAACTTACCGTGGTCACTTTTATTTTTGGTGGCTTCCAGTGACCTCAGCGATGACCTGATCGAAAAATGACCTGTATTTATCTTAAGGATCTTATCATGAGCTATCTATTACTTTTTGCGTCTTTACATTTCTCTTGTTTCTGAGATAGCCAGACATGGCTAAGTACCCATCATGAGAAGTTGGCTGAGACCCCCATCAGGGCGCGTTTAAATTCAAAGCATGTTACACAGATTCTCTGGGAAACTATGACCATATGTTTCAAATGTCTCTATTCGAAAATAAACCAAATGTGCATATGCCAGATATATTTTATAATTATCTCATTTAACCCCCGCCCGTATGGGGGGGGGGGGGGTCGAACGGACTACCCCTCGGGTTTTCGCAAATAACCCGGGTAAAAAGTGGCTGATCGCAACAAACCTTTGATACCCCCGCGTTAATCCATTTTACACCTACCCTTAAAATTCCATGACCCTGACCGAAATGACCTTTGACCTGTGACTTACTTTTCGAGACCATGTTTGGCCGGAATCGCGATTCGGCGTATGTCGGCTCGCATTAGCCACCCGTTTGCAGTCTTTTCGTGGTTTCAAGCGTTCAAACATGGGATATGATGTTGCCCCCATACATTAGGGTGGGAGTCAAGGTCACCTGAAGGTCAGGTCAGGTCATTGACCTTTGATGACCTCGGATCCCTTTTCGAGTTTTGCATGTTTCTAGGCTAATTTTTGGAGCTCGAGTTTAACAATCATTTGAACATTTACGAAGTAGTTTTAGTGCCTTCGTAACATGTTACGAAGCTCTCAGAGGCGGTTGACAGTTGACACCAACTACGAATACCCGGCAAAACCCCTACTGGTTTTGACCTGACCTCACCTGACCTGACGTGGTCTAAATGCACGAAGACAGCATCTGTGATGAAAACGAATATCATATTCGTGATTAGCACCCCCAAAAGCCCTATTGCAGTCTTACTTTACGACGTTCTAACAGGTCGCGATTTTCTCGACTTTTGGGTCATTGACCTGACCTGGAAGGTCAACCAATGACCTAGGACCTTGAAGTTGGGTATCATCGGCTCTCTCTCTCTCTCTCCCTCTCTCTCTCTCTCTCTCTCTCTCTCTCTCTCTTTCTCATCACGGGCAACACGCTCGTTTTTTTCCGCGAAGCTCTACCTCGATCAGGGACGAAACTGCAAGGGTCCAACGTTCGCGGCTTATACGTTATACGTTATACGTTACACGTTACCCCCAGTACGTTCGCGGCTGGCAAAACACCAATACGGGCGAGGGTTAACAACATCTAAATATAATTCAAGTCTAATATTTCTCATTTTCTATCGGGCTAGACTATGGGTTAAAGTTAATATTAAATGAACAATCAATTAAAAGCCAACAGACAACAAAAAATCATAACCAATCCCCGGACACTGGACGGCCAATCCATTTCACGCTTATCAACCGTTATTAGTTGCGTTTACACAACATTTTTGTCATAGCTCCAGCCCATTTATTTTGCGATAATGTCGATGCAATGATCTTTGTATGTTTAGAGGGGATAATTTTGTAAATTGTTAAGCACCATTGGTATCTTTTGCAACATCACGTGCAGAGCTATAAGCTTGCAACAATCCCTATGTAAACAGGGCTATTGTTAGAATACTGCGGAACGGTCCCACCACGAGACATTTCGAGGACCGCAGTCGCCCGGTCGATGACATAGGGTTCCATCGGGCATTGGTGTTTATTTATTTTTGACGGATGCTCTACGGTCCAGCAGAGGAAGGGTGCAGGGCTGGGAAGTTGAAATTTCGGTCTACTAGGGGTCCTCAAGCGCTGCAAGAGCATTGTTTTTTCTTTGCTGATATTGCACAGCGCAGCTGGTAAAACACTACTCGTTAGAATTGTGCCTTTCTCTTTAAAAACAAACCTAATTGTCTCGGACAATTTAGTTCAGTGTGTTATATTTAGGTCAGGTCAGGCAGGCACATCACATTGCAGCGATATTGCGCTTCGATATCGATCGGTATTTATCTCGATGTACAATCAATTTTTTTGACAATTTTCATGGTGGCTGTTGCTGACGAAATCACAGCCCAAAGAAAAGCCTTATCATGTCGACAATTTGTTTATTTTGGCTCGCCATGGACCTATGTCTGCAGTGAGGACCGGCACGGTGATGGTGCCAAGTCCCGGCATTCAGGCAAAGCGGCCTCCCGGCCCAGTGGGTGCCGACTGCCGAGTGACAGAAAACAGCGGCATCAGCATCACCACACCCCTCAGTGCCAACAGCGATACTGTGGTGTGTTCTAGTGGAGAGGCTTGTTCGGGTGTGCTCTAAGTGTTCTATGCTGTGCTAGCTATTTATCATGACGCCGTGATACCTACCTACTGTGGCTGAGTTTAACCTGTTTGCAGGGACAGATGGCTGAAGCCAAGGTGGTGGTAATCGGCGCCGGTGTGATCGGCGTTGGAGCAGCGCTGGCCATTCAGCGTGAACTGCCTCGAGCGACCGTTACCATAGTAACCGCTCAGCTGACCCCATTCACAACGGGAGATGGCGCCGCCGGCATTTGGGGACCTCACTACGTCAGTGGTGACCCGATAAAGGTCAGGTCAAGTACCGAGCGAATATGATGACACCGCGAGACACCCCCAAGACGTCACAGGCTGGGACATAAATCTTAGGACCATGTTAAATGTATTTTTTAATTTTTGTTTTAACGGCTGATGTTGGGTTGGCTATTAGAATAACAATACGTTCATTTATTATTTCTTTCCTAAATGCAATAATTTTAATGGACCGTTACGGGAAGCAGAAGATATCAATTTTTCACAAATTATTCTTATGATAACTTCTAGCAAAACGACGGTAACAACGAACTTATTGCTACAGCTTCTAATCCGTAATAAAAATTGACGGTCATCGGCCACGGGTCAGGCCTTTTCCTAAGGTCACATTTCATATCTGATCTGTCGAAATGAAATATATTTGAACTGTTTTAAAGAGAGAAATAGCGACATCTATGAGAATCCAGGACATGCATATAATTACATAATAGCCGTTTTCACGACGGCCATCTGGTACACATTTGGTGCACATCTGGTACAGATTAGGTGCAGATTTGGTCAAATCAGGTTCAGTGTGTCTCTTAGCAGCTATCAGCTATCAGCTAGGGTTGCACTAAATGCTTATATGCCTGCTTTGTCATATTATCAGAGAGCATCATCGATCAAAACACTGAAATAAATTCATAAAATGAAGATATTTGGTGTAAAAGAAATTAGGTGCAGATTTGGTCAAATCAGGTGCATTCGCCGGATAGCCCGTCGTGAAAACGGCCATTATGTATGTACCTATCAAAGTTATATAAAACAAGCAATATTCCAACAAAGGAGCTATTTGTCAATAGGCTACATCGTTCTAACGTAAAATGCTTATTGTTATTATCAAACAACAGCATCTTTCGATCATCGAGGTATATAATACTGAAGCGTTTCACTGGTTGCAGATCAGGGACTGGAGTCAGGCGACACACGACTTCCTGCAGCGTCTCTGGATGGAAGGTGAGTGTCCAGGAATCGGTCTAATCGCTGGCCACGACCACCCCGAGAAGGCTCCCCACACCACAGTGCCCTTCTATCACGAGGATGCACCAGCCTCTGGGGACGCCTCAGCGCCAGAAGAAGGGAAGATGGGGTTGTCAGGGTCTGATGCGCGGTTTGAGTCATCGTCGGATGACAAGAGGATGTCAGAATCTTCACAATCGGGTAAACTCTCTTCAGAGACACCTGTCTCAGGTAAAGATAAGATTCATCCAGAGCTAAGATCTACTCCTTACGAAGGGAAACTAAGTCAGCAGGTCACCTTCTACGCGGAACCATCCAAGTTTCTCCCATTCCTGCTAGCTGCCTTCAAATATCACGGAGGCAACGTCATCGTTGCCAATGTGACGTCACTCCAACAGCTGGCAGAGTATGACGTCATTATCAACTGCACCGGGCTAGGATCTGAGACTCTATTCGGTGACACCACACTCCAACCCATCCGAGGACAATTGGTGCGCGTGAAGGCACCATACGTCAAAAGCTTCCTCGCTAGAAACGGTTTTTACATCGTTCCGAACGAAGACGCGGTTGTTTTAGGCGGTACAGCGCAGCTGAATGACCGACGCACGGAGCCGGACGTTGCAGACACAGCAAGAATCGTTTCAGGCTGTTCGAAATTGATTCCCGCCCTACGTGGGGCCCCGATTGTGGGTGTATGGGCTGGGCTGAGGCCGTTCAGGCCCGGAGGGGTCCGCCTGGAGTCGGAGCGACATCTGGTGGGCGGTAGGTGGCGCTGGGTGGTGCACAACTACGGCCATGGTGGATCGGGTGTTACGCTGTTTTGGGGCTGTGCGTTAGAGGTGGCAGCGAAGGTCCGTCAGATTTTGGAGAACGCCACAGCCAGCAAGTTGTAGACTGTAGAGTGTAGATATGGTGACTGAAAAACTGCCTCCGCAAAACATTGTTAGCCGTTATATTGCTCCAGCTATGCCTCTACAATAACGGCTGGTGACTGAAAACCGCTTCAGTCAAAATGTTGTCAGCCCTGATGAGATGCAATGCTGCAGCTACTCCTCTAACCTGCTCGACTAATGATCTGCGATCCTAATAGGCAAGTTGGCTGTGTGTAGACCTGCGGAATAACAAAGCTCTTCATATCTGGGGCAACCTTCAAGCGCTAACACCTGCTGAGTGCTGAAAATGAAATGTATGACCGTCACAGACAACGAGTGGCACTAGGTAGTTCTCAGATTGATATTTAGGTCTGCTTGACTATTAGTGGACTGGCAACGCACTGAGCGACAGGGGCTCACCTGTTTTGTATATTTTTGATGGAATGTGAAGTGTGCCGACGTCGATAGACGAGCTGTGAAAAGGGAGATGCAATTGCTTGGCCAATATAATGTGTATTATACCCAAAAAGTTGTTGAGGTTCGGCATTTTGTCATTTTACCCGGCCCGTACCGTAGGCACCGTTGTTGTCAGTACAACGGCGAAGTCCACCACAATGGAGCACATTCTGTCGCACTAAAATCGATAATTAGTTACCAGTTAGTATTTATTTTCTCATTTTGATGTCATATTCACAGTGAAACCGACTAACGCCATGAGTATTGCAGTTACTTCGGTCATTGGGTTCATTCACTGCGTCTTCAGTTAATATTTGTTACGGACGCATTTATGTACAACGTAAATGGCTTGACATTTTCAAACAATTTGATATACAATAATGCATAACAACGGGCACAGTAACAATAAATAGCACAGCTAAGGCACTTCATACACTTATCGCGGTCAACATTTTGCGGTCCTTAAGTCGGAGCAATTCTAATAGAACCACTAAGGCTTCTTCACCTTTTCAATTCTCAAGAATAGCATACATATCACTGAGCAACTTACGAACACATTTCACATCACGAACTTTCCACCTGTGGGCTCACAATACAAAAAATACACTTTTCGTTTTCTACTTTCAAACTCCGCTACAACTTGCTCTTAAGAGCACCACCCTTCTTGTTCGCAATGCTCCTCCTCTTACCCATCTCCCCAAACAAGTTCTGCATCAGGCTCTGTGGCAGGGCGGCCATCTCCCGTGGCGGTCCTGACGCAGGAGCCTTCTCCTCCTCCTCCTTCGGGACAGGAGCAGGAGGCGGCGGCAGGTCTCCAGGCACCGGGTACTTGTCCAGCAGCTCCTGCAGAGCCACCATCTGCAGGTGGAAGTCCTCCTCCGTCATCAGACGGTGGTTGCCACGCTTCTTCAGGTACAGACGGACGTCATTGTGGGGCACGGCTCGGACAAGATCCAAGCAGTTTTCCCAGTGCACAGAGTCGTCCTGGGGAAAGACAAATAGTTGTCAGATTAGAAGGAAGAGTCGCCCGAGAAAAGACAGTGGTTAGTTCAGCTGTGAGCTTCCGGTACTCTTCTCTCTCACTTCTTCTCTCGTATTCCTTAACCGCAGGTTATTTGAAAATTGACAAACACTATTCGTTAGAATTGTGTTTTTCAATTGATAGAAACGGTTCGTCGGTTATCAGTACAGTCCGATGGACTATCTCCCTTCCTCTCCTCTTAAAGGGACCCTCCCACCTTAACATTAGATTTGAGTTGAGATAGCCAAAATGGGGTCCCTGGCTCACAATTACCGGTTTTGGCACTCACAACATCGAGAAATGCCTTAAATCGGAAATATTGAATTTCAAAATTGCAGCATTTTGATTCAGAGGGGCTAATGCTTAGGAATACCCCTCTGAATGTGTGACGTCAGCGCAGATATCTAACGATTTTTAAATGTTTGACTAAAACGTTTTGTAGCACGCGGTGGTATATGCTATTTGCGCGCAACATCTGCCGCAAACGCCGCACTTCTAAAATAAAGTCGCTAGAAACAGCGGAGGTCCCAAAAAGTAAACAAAAGTAAAAGTCTAATATCTTGAAAACCGGTGAATATTTTTCGGTGAAATTTGGTAGATATTCGTTTTCGCTCTTTCTGAACCGAGCGACATCACTTCCATGCCAATTCATAAACTTTTTTGAAGGTGGGAGGGTCCTTTTAATTTATTCGTCATTAATAAATCTACTCGTTCTATCCTACCACCTATCCCTCTCTTTGCTCCCTTCCCTTTTCCCCTCCTAATCCCGTACCCTTACTCTCTTGTTCACAAACCAATTCCCCTTTTTCTTTTGTCTTCTCGCTCTGTTTCTCATTTTAATTCCTCCCTCTATCTTGTTTTCTTCATATCTCCCTCATCCTCTCTCTTTCTTTCTTTCATTTTCTCTCTCACCCTCCCACTTATCCCTTTTCCTCTCATCTTCTTCTTCTTCCAACCATTCTCACCTCCATTGCGTGGATGATTCGCACGGGACACTGCACCCCCAGCGGCTTGTCGATGTCGATACGATGGTCCTTCATCTCTTGTAGGAACCGCTTCGAACAGGTAACCTCGACACCCCAGTTGGCCTTGAAGCGGACCGCCTCACCAGCCTCCACACGCGCTTGCGTCTGTGGATGTCAATTTCAGGTGTCATATAACATATTAGTGTCAAGTGCCAAATATCAAGTGGCATGTGTCAAAGGATTAGTTGTTGAAAGAATCAGCACCCACAGATCGGTGTTTGCGAAGGAGGACCGGTGGAAACAGAGATCTCTGGTAGAACGAAAAGACAATGCAGAATGAATATGAACGACGGTAAGGTATTTCGAGACGAATGTTAATTAAAACACCAGTGAGTTACGTGCTCGATTTGAACTCAATTCATGTATTCAGCTGCAAAGTCAGTCCCTTCAAAAGCCGATAAATGTCTTGTTAATGATGCCTGCGTTTAGGAATGCAGACCACTGTGCGTGGCAACAGTTCCAGCACTCCCTGAAGTCACAAGATGCCTGAGGTGACAGGTCTGCCTAAGGTCACAGATCTGGCTGAGGTCACAGGGATGTCTGAGGTCTGAGGCCACAAGTCTCTCTGAGGTCACAGGACTGGCTGAGGTCACAGGACTGGCTGAGGTCACAGGACTGGCTAAGGTCACAGAAATGTCTGAGGCCACAAGTCTCCCTGAGGTCTCAGTACTGCCTGAGGTCACCAAGCTGCCTACCTCGGGGTCCAGTGACTGCAGCAGCGTCTCGAAGAGGTCGTCGTCGAGGCCGTGGTTGACGGCAGGAGCCAGCATCAGGATGCTGTGGACCCGCTCGGGGTACTTAGCGGCCAGCATCAGCGACATCCAGGCTGTAGAGGCGAGGGAAGGTGATGTGGTCAGGCGGCATGTTCATAAGACATGTTCAGAGGAGAGATGCGACAAAGGAACTAGCTATAAGTTATGTGACGCATCAGATACTACCTAATCGTGCACTCATATGTCGGAAGAGTTGTCATCATCTCTTCCTTCCAACGATTGGATTAACCCTCGCCCTGGCAGGGGGGGGGGGGTCGATGCGTCCCCCCTAAGGTTTTTCGAAGATAGCGTAAAAACGGCGGCGCGCAGCGCCGCCAAATTTGGCACAGCCTATGGGGCAACCTTTTTACATATGACCTGAAAATTTCAGGTGCGGGTGACCTTGGGTCAGGTCACCAGGTCAGAAAAACCGGTACAAGGTCATGGTCGAATTTCAATTTTCTTTTTGCACCTGTCCAACTCACAGTTTTGCACTGATTTCCTTCAAACTTTCAGGATGTGCTAAGTTCACCGAGTTGTATAACATATAGTTCGGGTTTTTTTGAGGTCACTGACCTGAGGTCAGTTAGAGGTCATTACGTCGTAATGTTAAGCCTATGGGAAAATAATAAATTCGGAAAATACTGGAGATATCCGCTTCGTTCTATCACTTTTGTGCTTTGAAACCACAGTACTTAACAGCAGGTCACTTGGTGCTTCTTTGTTTGGTGTACTTATCCATGGGTCAGGTCAAATGAGGTCAACTGAGGTCAAATGACGTTTTTGCCAATAACTTGGCACATAATGACGCTAGAGCTTAAAAAATGGTATCATTGTGTTCCTGGTGATCAGCCGAATCGAATGATATACGATATGATGCAATTTGGTTAACTTTAACTTAATTTATTAATTTAAGTTTACTTAAAATTTAAGAACAACTTTAAGTACACTTAAGCAAGCTAAAAAGTATATCATTCGACGCGCCTTGACGTGCTGAGTTCACTGGTGCTTTTCTTTTTGCTCTATCTTAATTAGATCAAAAGTTAAAAGCGAAAAACTTTTGACCTGTTTTTAGCGAAATTTTTACATTTATACCCCCCAAAACCCCCCTAAATATTGACCTAGAGCAACCAAATTTGCACAGGGGCGAGAACTTCAGGGGGCCCACCTACCTACCAAATTTGGTGTTTCTAGGTGCCATAGGAGCCAATCGCGAGGGGGGGGTCGCATCGATCCCCCCCCCCCCCTGCCAGGCCGTGTTATGAAAAATGCCCTGCCAGGGCGAGGGTTAAATATTGGTAAATTGTTAAAACTCGGTGTGACTATGACGGTATAGCTTGAGAAGGTGCAATTTAGGTGGTGTGGCTAAACGGTTTCTGAGACGAGACGGGGGGGGGGGGGGGGGGGCGATGCGTACCGTCTAAAAATAAAAAGGCCACAGCTTTAACAAAAACGGTTACGAAACGGGACAACCAACGACCAAGTGGTGAGTTGTGACATATTTCGCTTGCAGCTGAAATATCACATTTTCTACTGTATCAACAATCATGACACTAATCTCTAGATTAGCGGAATCCCCAACTCTCACCTCCATTACTGGAAGAGACCAGGATCTGGGGTCCTGTGGTCAGATGCTCCAGGGCGTGGCAGGCGTCTTCGAACCATGCGGAGAACGACACCTCCCTCTGCTGGGTGGTGCGGGACTCCCCAATACCCTCAGCGTCGTACCTGTGGACGGGAAATCTGTCAGTCAAACGAGTCTGTTGACTTTAAGGGTATGGCATAGATTGACATACGCAGCGGCATCCAAGCAATATTTACTGTTATGTTCAATCGTAATTCTTTGACATGCGGGCCATTAATTTCTCATCGACCGATTTTACGAGATAAGTACGTGATAAGGGCGTAGTCACAATTCGACTACTCGAGGTCAATATGCTTTGCTCTATATCTGAGCTATATTGCAAATTGAAACGAAATCTTATCATCTTATCGACGATAATGTCAACGACACCGACTTGTGCGTTGATCAGGCTGTAATCGATAAGTAAATGCTTATAGAATTATGTTGCCACTTTCCTCGGCAGCTTCACAACACATAACGACATGATAGTATCGTAAAAAATGTCGCCTCGCACTAACCCAACCCTCTTTCTCCCACCCTTTATCATCATAGCCCATAAGCGGTACTCACTTCAGGAACGGATATCCGTTTCTCAGGCAGAACTCTTCGATGATGTTTGCTTTGGCGATGTACATCTTGGAGAAGTATCCGGGCACATACATAACCCCGGGCCGACGGGTGCCCTCGATGCGACAGTACGCGAACCGGCGAGGCTCTCCGTCCCGATGAAGGCGACCCAGGTAGGCGTACTGAGTTGGAGATAGATTGTGTTTGCGGAAGTAGCTCGTCTTTGGGGCTGCCCCGCTGCCGCTGGTGGTGGTGTCGACACTGGACATGTTGGACAGAACCTGCCGGAGAGAAATGAGCATACGTTATGCTGAATGCATTCTAATGTTTCTTTATTGATTTTGTTAAAGTTGATAGCATGCGAACAGATAAGTTAAAAAAAAGACTGAGCTTAAACCGCTAACCTAGTTGTGACTTGAGGATGTGCTTATTTACGATTTACGTACTTCAGACTCTAAATGGGCTTTAAGCATGACTCAGTCTTAGATTGCTGTCGCTGCCGCGACCCACTGATCAAAGATAAGATATCGATGGTGTGAAAATGAGACGGTCTGGCCACTTCAAACTCGAGTGGTGTATCCCGATGGCCTCTGACTTTCCAGTTTTGAAACTAGGCTGCAGAACTAGGCCGCCGATCACGTGCACGGCTGTGTCACATGCGAAACCCCCCCCCCCCCCCCAAACACACACAAACAGCACACATCCCCTACACGCATACGCGCTATGGGAAGAATGCCATCGACGTTTTACTCTGATATAGTTCATACCGAGCTAAATACTTTTATGCCAATGCCGGCAATATTTATCTCAAATCTATGCCCGGTATTGTTCTATCTCAATTCTCAATGCATCAAAACTGTGCTAGTTTTAATGTCATATTTGCTGGAAAATTTTAATTTGCTTGCTACGCTACAAAACATTTAGACTGTTAACTTGTTGCTATACTCCTTCCAACCACATCTTGGGCGAAATCATCTCACAAACATGCTGCACTGCAATCCTTTCCAACCTCACGTCATTTTATTATATTTCCGCTAAAATCGTATAGGCAAAATGCTATTTTAGCTAGCTTTTTTAATTCTAGCTATTTTAAATATATCTCTTCATTTTTTTTCGACTACATAACGGAATAAAAGTAATGTCTGCCACTTATACAGACATATGATAATTAAATGTAACTGTCGAAAATGTTAAGACTATAACATTTTACATTTAACTTGGCGAAGAGAAATACCCGCATGCTCACTCTCTTCAAATGTCAACACCTAGGCTGAAATAAATGAATATATTTTGGAACGTTCCCTCTTGAGTTTGGAAGTTTTAGCTGAAGAACTGTCGAACCAACCAAAGAAGGAACGTTACTGAAATATATTCATTCATTTTAGGCTAAGCTTAGCCTATTGAAAATAGCGAGCATACAATTATTCCTCTACTCTATTCAATCATGCCGCTCATTTTAGTAGTTCGCCACCCTATTACATTTGATTTACCGGCAATTTCCCGAATGCTGACCATGAAAGTAATAAAAAACACTATTTAACTGATGTATTACATTGAGGCCTACTCATTCTCAAAATGCGACTTATTATTGTTTCATAGCTACAAATGTTACATTTACATTCTTGTTCCACCTCTGGATTTTGCCCTTGTTATTTGGTAAACTGGTCGAGGAGGTCCTTATTATTGAGCTCCGCTAAATTGTCGGATATATGATAGATGTGCTACCTAATATTTTATGACCATTGCAAAATTATTTTGAAAATTATATGGAAAACGGTTGCTGGACACCAGCAATTTCTTTGTAAACCGATGGCTTTCGGGGGCTACCACCTATGTACTTCATCGGGGCTATAGGCATGTTCATAGGCTTTTAACCAGAATAATTATGTAGTTTTTGATGCCTAAGTTCTGGTTCGAGTTGTCAGAATAATTATAAATAGGCATGCCATAATTTTATCCTACCCCTGTCAGCGCACCGTTAGGCAAAACAAGCTAATGTAACGTTATCTTTGCACGACTTCCTGGAAGTACTCGTATACCTTTATCTACCTTTCTCTCTCTGTAGTCGACTGGTGCGTGATCCCGCGAACTACGGAAGCTCCAAATGTCTTCCACTGAACTTGCGACCTGAACGTGCCTCTGCTGCGACCAGCAATGACACTAGCTGGCCAAATTTCCAATATATAGCACCAGTGCTCAGTCGGTAATCTTATCGGCGCCCCCGTCTCAAAATCAGGGATCTCCGAGACTATGCCCCGAGATAAGCTCGGTGGCTTTTTCGCCCAGAGTCATCGTGGCTCATTTCAACACAGAGTGATCACTGGTCAGGGACGGCCCACATTTACGAGTGGGATGTCCCAGCGCATCGATAAATTCAATGTCGTGTCTTCCCATCTTCAACGCATGCGTGTATCAAAACAGAGGTGGTTGTTTGTGTGTGGGTGGTAACAGCGTTTGTAGTAACAATACTAGGGTGGCCCGCGTGCTCCGCAACGCGAAAAGGGATATTTTCGATCGGCGGGTGTTCGGTTGTTCTTGTGTCGGTTGGGTTATCTATCCATTTCGGTCGATTGCTTTTTGACGGCTAAACGTTTTGGTTTGTGGAAAAAATATCCACCGCATCGAGGTGCCCGTGTCTGATAAGCATGCTTTCCACTTCAGAATCTGTCAAATGTGCTTTATAATTGAGGTGCGTAGTTTTAAGACAAATGAAAGGCGTAGATAATTTTCGCTAAAAATCGTTTTGCAGAGGTTTAAAACATTTATATTTTTAAGAATACTGTTGCTTGTCATGCAAACGTGATGATTGGATCTTGGAGAGAATTGAATGCTCTTTCTAATGATAGCATTTTCAATTGTCAAGCGTATCAGGTTAAGCAGCAAAATCCGTGTAATTATTTAGTGGCACATTTTGGACAAATACCATTTAATTCAGCGATTTTTTCCACATTGTTTTTGATCAATTAGCTTTTCACATTTTTTCCATGAGAGACGGTACATTTTTATTGCTAATAGGCGCTGTTTCAACTCATTCCGTCTGACGATCACCTGAAATTAATATAAATTCCGAAATCCGTCCAAAACGTCCATTTTTTCAAAAGAAAGTGTCCTCCCCGGTGCACGTGGCGCGTGCCACCCCTGCACCGCACACTATTCGATTGCCCGTTCGATTCTCTACACGATGCTGTTTTCCCCGTACCGGTCGGGCCCACGGTTACCGAGATATTGCACCGGGACCGGACCCGTGTCGGGCAAATTTAGCCATTTTCGCCCGTTTTTGCCAGCCGATTTATACATGTAAAGTCTATGACGCGAATTTGCACTTTTTGGGCACGCGCCACGCGCTCGCTATCGATCCGATCGAGCCGAGACCGCTCAAAGGCACGTTGTCCATCCTTGTTCTATGAGTTGCGCAAATTTCAGCGCGGTAGGTGCAACGGTGTGACCTGTAACCCGCGCTACGTAGCACCATGTCGCGACCTTCGTAATAGACAGAAACTACGCCCTCCTCAAATAGTAATATAGACAAGCGGCTGCGCCACTTGCTTTGCTGCGTGGTAGGAAAAATTGCGGCACCAGCCAATTTGCTTTCGAATGGTGTTTGATTCATGTCGATGTGTCGTCTAGAAGCATAGATATGGACGGAAATGTGAAGAGAATTAAAAAAACTGTTCTGAGGGGGTTGTTGGATGAAATTTGGGTGATACGGGGTCAAGACGGGTCAAAGGGGTCAGCCCCGGTCACTTTGGGTCAGGCCAGGTCACATAGGTCACCTCTCGTCCGCTGGGATCAGCCCGGGCCACTGTTCTGCTTTTGTCTCCACCACTACCCCTACCCCTACCACTACCCCTACCACTACCCTACCCCTACCCCTACCACTACCCCTACCCCTACCCCTACCCCTACCACTACTCCTACCCATACTCCTACCCCTACCACTACCCTACCCCTACCCCTACCACTACTCCTACCCATACTCCTACCCCTACCACTACCCTACCACTACCCCTACTACTACCCCTACCACTACCCATACCACTACCCCTACCCCTACCCCTACCCCTACCACTACTCCTACCCATACTCCTCCCCTACCACTACCCTACCACTACCCCTACTACTACCCATGTCCCCTACTACTACCCCTACCACTACCCCTACCCCTACTACTACTCCTACCACTACCCCTACCCCTACCCCTACCACGACCCTACCCCTACCACTACCGATACCACTACCCATACCACTACCCCTACCCCTACCCAACACCGCTGGGTCATGCCAGGTCACAGAATAATTGGATCCAATCAGTACTAAAATATTAGACTTAGAGTGTTCCCAGCCCTGCCCCTATTCGTGCCATTCCATTACGCTTATTCGTATTTGTCGGAAATGGCGCTTTGTGGCATATGTGGCGCATTGCGACAAACGCGGCGCATTTTCACCCGGCGATTGAGCATGCACCTTGGCACCAAATTGCACCCACATCGGACCATATTTAACAAAACTGTTCGATTTGCGGCAAAAATGACGCCCTGAGATAATTGTGGCGCATTGCGGCAAACGCGGTGAATTTGTAAAATCGTATCACAAACTGGTCCCATCGAACGAAAATCAACACATTCTCTCGCCACTATTTATTCAAATTAATAACTTGCCGATCCGCCAATGCGAGGCACCCGCCGCCGATCGGCATGCATTTAGTCCACAAAGTTTGTCGACCCCAGCTCTCAATGAAGATCTACGAACCGATCAAAATTTCATTGGCGATCTTCCAGCGCGCCCCACGCGCGAACCGTGCACCCCAGCGAGCCGAAACCTAGAAAAGGCGCTGACCCGTTCTGTCACCTATAAGGTGTGCAAATTTCAACCCCCTACGATATACCGTCTGCCCTGTAGGCCGGCTAAATTGAACCCACTACACGGCGTGGCGGACAGACAGACAGACAGATGGATCCTGTTGAAATAGTAAGATAGACAAGCGGCTGCGCCACTTGCTTTGCTGCGTGGTAGGAAAAAATTGCGGCACCAGCCAATTTGCTTTCGAATGGTGTTTGATTCATGTCGATGTGTCGTCTAGAAGCATAGATATGGACGGAAATGTGAAGAGAATTTAAAAAAGAACTGTTCTGAGGGCGTTGTTGGATGAAATTTGGGTGATACGGGGTCAAGACGGGTCAAAGGGGTCAGCCCCGGTCACTTTGGGTCAGGCCAGGTCACATAGGTCACCTCTCGTTCGCTGGGATCAGCCCGGGCCACTGTTCTGCTTTTACCTCCACCACTACCCCTACCCCTACCACTACCCCTACCCCTACCCCTACCACTACCCCTACCACTACCACTACCCCTACCACTACCCCTACCACTACCCCTACCACTACCCCTACCCCTACCACTACCCCTACCCCTACCCCTACACCTACCACTACATCTACCCCTACCCCTACCACTACTACTACCCATACTACTCCCCTACCCCTACCCTAACCCCTACCACTACCCCTACTTCTACCCCTACCCCTACCACTACATCTACCACAGCACTACCCCTACCACTACCTCTACCACTACCACTACCACTACCACTACCCCTACCCCTACCCCTACCACTACCCCTACCCCTACTACTACTACTATTTCCACTACCCCTACCCCTACCCCTACCCCTACCCCTACCCCTACCACTACACTACCCCTACCAATACCCCTACCACTACCCCTACCCCTACCAACACCGCTGGGTCATGTCAGGTCACAGAATAATTGGATCCAATCAGTACTAAAATATCAGACTTGAAGTGTTCCCAGCCCTGCCCCTATTCGTGCCATTCCATTACGTTTAATCGTATTTGTCGGAAATGACGCCTTGTGGCATTTGTGGCGCATTGCGGCAAATGTGGCACATCTGTACTTGTTGGTTGAGCATGCATCCTGGCACCAAGTTGTACCCTTATTGCAGCATATTAGATAAAGTTGTGCAATTTGCGGCAAAAATGACGCCTTGTGACCAATGTGACGCATTGCGGCAAACGCGGTGCGTTTTTATACTTGTATCACAAACTATTCCCATTGAACGAAAATCAACACATGCTCTCGCCACTTTTTATTCAAATTAAAAACCTGCCCATCCGCCAATGCGAGGCACCCGCCACCGATCGGCATGCATTTAGCTCACAAAGTTTGTCGACCCCGGCTCTCAATGAAGATCTACGAACCGATCAAAATTTCATTGGTGTACTTCCAGCGCGCCCCACGCGCGAACCGTGCACCCCAGCGAGCCGAAACCTAGAAAAGGCGCTGACCCGCTCTGTCACCTAGAAGGTGTGCAACTTTCAACCCCCTACGATATACCGTCTGCCCTGTAGGCCGGCTAAATTGAACCCACTACACGGCGTGGCGGACAGACAGACTTACAGACAGATGGATCCTGTTTAAATAGTAATATAGACAAGCGGCTGCGCCACTTGCTTTGCTGCGTGGTAGGAAAAATTGCGGCACCAGCCAATTTGCTTTCGAATGGTGTTTGATTCATGTCGATGTGTCGTCTAGAAGCATAGATATGGACGGAAATGTGAAGAGAATTTAAAAAAGAACTGTTCTGAGGGCGTTGTTGGATGAAATTTGGGTGATACGGGGTCAATACGGGTCAAAGGGGTCAGCCCCGGTCACTTTGGGTCAGGCCAGGTCACATAGGTCACCTCTCGTCCGCTGGGATCAGCCCGGGCCACTGTTCTGCTTTTGTCTCCACCACTACCCTTTCCCCTACCACTACCCCTACCACTACCCCTACCCTACCACTACCCCTACCCCTACCCCTACCACTAACCCTACCACTACCCCTACCCCTACCCCTACCCCTACCCCTACCCCTACCCCTACCACTACATCTACCCCTACCACTACTACTACCCATACTCCTACCCCTACCACTACCCCTACCCCTACTACTACTCCTACCACTACCCCTACCCCTACTAACACCGCTGGGTCATGTCAGGTCACAGAATAATTCGTGCCATTCCATTGCCCTTACTCGATTTTGTCGGAAATGGCGCTTTGTGGCAAATGTGGCGCATTGCGGCAAATGCGGCGCATCTGTACCTGTTGTTTGAGCATGCACCCTTGCACCAAATTGTACCCTTATCGGGCCATAT